AATTTTTTGATTGGGTTCATCAACTTCCAGTAGCTTAGTGGTTAAGTGTCACCTTGCATACCAGAAACCCGGGTTCAGACACTGAAAAATGTCTGTCGCACTTTGTTAAGAAACTGGTCTGGCGGATATTGCTTTAAGTGAAAAAATACATTTTGTAGTTGACCTAAAATGTACATTCTTAAATGTTATTAATGGCAGCAGTTCACACATATATTAAGATACATCGGAACAGTGGTTCTCAATAATAAAATCTAAATGTTAAAAAATGGTGTTTATCGCGTCTTGCAACCTAACTCTTTATAGGTTTAGTGTGTATATGTATATAGTTGTCTTTTGTTGTATGGGTTGAACAACTTCTAGTAGCCGAGTGGTTAAATGATTCACCTCCCACGCCAGTGACCCGAGTTCTATCCCAGATCCTGACAAGTATGTATCATGTGCAAATGTATGGAGTATGTGTGTATAGAATGTATCATGTGTACATATGTATAAACTGTATGTATATGGAATGTATCATGTGTTAATGTATAAAGTGTATGTGTATAGAATGTATCATGTGTACATTTATATGGATTATATGTATGGAGTTTATCGTGTATGTGTATAGATAGTATCATGTGTGCATATGTATAAAGTGTACGTGTATAGAATGTACCATGTGTAGAGTTTATCATGTCGCATATATTTGTAGAGTTCATCATGTCTGTGCATAGGTATTATGTGTATATGTCAAGTATGTATGGAGTATATAGTTGTTTGGGGTAAACAATTTCCAGTAGCTGAGTGGTTAAGTGTTTCACCTTCCATGCCAGTGACCTGAGTTCTATTCCAGACCCTGACAAGAGTCTATGTGTATAGAATGTATAATGTATTTATGGAGTTTATTGTGTATGTGTATAGATAGTATCATGTGTAGAGTTTGTCATCTCTGTGCATAATGTATATATGGAGTTTATCGTGTATAGGTAGTATCATGTGTGTACATTTGTAGAAATTGTCATTTCTGTGCATATGTATGGAATATATATGTACAGCATTCATTGTGTGTGTATGTATGGACTGTTTCATGTTTGCATAAGTGTTTATGTATAGTGTTTCATGTGTGCATATGTATGGAGAGTATCATGTTTGTACATGTATGGTACCATGAGTGTATGTGTTTATATGTATGGATTGTCTCGTATAGAATGTATCATGTGTGCATATGCACAAGATACACTTCATATTTATGCACACATGATACATTCTATCATTCACACACGAGACACTATACAAAGACATGATACAATCCATTCATGTGCAATCCATACATTCTAAACATATACACACAAGATACATGTACATTCTATACATATGATACATACACACATGATACATTCTAAACATATAAACACACACACATGATACATTCCATACATGTACACACAATACACTATACATATACATGATACACGTACACTATATAAATACACACATGATACATTCCATACACATACACTTTATACAAATGCACACGATACATTCTTAACACATATACTCCATACATATGCACGATACACACTTGTCAGGGTCTGGGATAGAACTCGAGTCTCTGGCATGGAAGGTGAATCACTTAACTTCTGAGCTACTGGATGTTGACCTCAGACGAGTTGAAAGACAACTATATATACACACTAAAAATATACACTTCATACACATACACTCTATACATATACAGACATGATACATTCCATACGCACATATGTGCACCATACAAATACACTCTATACATATACAGACGTGGTACACATAGTATATATTTCTACAGTGTATTGTGTAATTTTTTGTTTGGGTTCATCAACTTACAGTAGCTCAGTGGTTACATGATTCACCTTGCATGCCAGAGACCCGGGTTTATCCTGGACACTGACATTTGAGTATTTGTATGGAGTGTTTGTGTATAGCATGCATCATGCATATATAAATAGTGTATCATGTGTATATGTATAGTGTTTCATGTTTGCATAAATATTGAGTGTATATGTAGTTTTACAGGTGTGCATATGTATAGAGTGAATCATGTTTGAAGATGTGTGTGTATCATGTGTGCGTACATATGATGTGTATCTTGTGCATAAGCACACATGATACATTCTATACACATATATGATATAGTCCATACATAGGCACACACAATACATTATATACATATACACATGATACATTCTTTACACATACACTCCATGCATATGCAAACATGAAACATTCTATACACATACACTTTATACATATACACACATGATACATTCCATACATATACACTCATGATACACTCCATACATATGCACAGACATGATACATTCTATACACATAGACTCCATACATATGCACATATGATGCATTCTATCCACATACACTCCATGCATATGCAAACATGATACATTCTATACATAAACACACACGATACATTCCGTGCATAAACACAGACATGATACAACCACTGAGCTACTGGAAGTTGATGAACCCAAACAACGAAAGACAGCTATATACATATACACACTAAACATAAACACTCCATACATATGCATACAATACACTCTATACATGACCGCACATGATACATTCTATACACAGACACGTTACACATGATAAATTTTACATTCTACATATCCACTTAACACTCTGTACATATACACACCATACATATACATTCTATATGTATACACACATGATACACTCAATACATATACATTCTATACGTATACACACATGATACACTCTATACATATACATTCTATACGTATACACACATGATACACTCTATACATATACATTCTATACATATACACACATGATACGCTCTATACATACACACAACATACATATGCATACATGAAACACTCCATACATATGCACACGATACATTCTATACACAGACACAATACACATGATAAATGTTACACTCTACATATCCACTCCGCACTCTGTACATGTACACACCATACATATACATTCTATACGTATACACACATGATACACTCAATACATATACATTCTATACGTATACACACATGATACACTCTATACATATACATTCTATACGTATACACACATGATACACTCTATACATATACATTCTATACATATACACACATGATACGCTCTATACATACACAAAACATACATATGCATACATGAAACACTCCATACATATGCACACGATACATTCTATACACAGACACAATACACATGATAAATGTTACACTCTACATATCCACTCCGCACTCTGTACATGTACACACCATACATATACATTCTATACATATACATTCTATACGTATACACACATGATACACAATACATATACATTCTATACGTATACACACATGATACACTCTATACATATACATTCTATACGTATACACACATGATACACTCTATACATATACATTCTATACATATACACACATGATACGCTCTATACATACACACAACATACATATGCATACATGAAACACTCCATACATATGCACACGATACATTCTATACACAGACACAATACACATAATAAATGTTACACTCTACATATCCACTCCGCACTCTGTACATGTACACACCATACATATACATTCTATACATATACATTCTATACGTATACACACATGATACACTCAATACATATACATTCTATACGTATACACACATGATACACTCTATACATAAACATTCTATACGTATACACACATGATACGCTCTATACATACACACAACATACATATGCATACATGAAACACTCCATACATATGCACACGATACATTCTATACACAGACACAATACACATGATAAATGTTACACTCTACATATCCACTCCGCACTCTGTACATGTACACACCATACATATACATTCTATACATATATATATGCATGATAGGCGACGTAGTGGTGCAGTAGGTAGTGCTGTCGCCTCACAGCAAGAAGGTTGCTGGTTCGATCCTCGGCTCAGTTGGCGTTTCTGTGTGGATTTTGCATGTTCTCCCTGCGTTCGCGTGGGTTTCCTCCGGGTGCTCTGGTTTCCCCCACAGTCCAAAGACATGCGGTACAGGTGAATTGGGTAGGCTAAATTGTCCATAGTGTATGAGTGTGTGTGTGAATGTGGGTGTGGATGTTTGCCAGAGATGGGTTGCGACTGGAAGGGCATCCACTGCGTAGAAATGTACTGGATAAGTTGGCGGTTATTCATTATATATATATGATACAACAAGGTAGTTTTACTTAAAGAACTGCCACTTGCTGCGTTGTTTTCTGACCATTCACATTTTAGTTGTGTTTGAAAATCCTTGTCGATCACATTCTTGGAGGACCACCAGCTCTGCACATTTTTAATGTCTCCTTAACCAAACACACCTGATTCAGATCATCAGCAGATACTGAAAGACCTGTAATGGGTGTTACAGACAACGGAGCCATCTAAAACCATGCAGTGTCTGGTGAGCAGAACGTGGTTGAGAAACACAGCTGTAGATCATCAGTTTCTACAATCATCAGTTTGACCTTAAGCTGATCATCTCGACCACGTCTACATTCTCAAAATGTGTTGCTGTTATCTGATTGACTATTAAGATATTTATTTCATTTCAGTGAGCGATTGAACTGATGTACCTAATAAAGTGGCCGGTTAGTGTTAAACATTTTGCTGAAATCTTCAAGTAATTCATGTTTAATATTTTCAGAAATCCAGATGTTCAGACAGTACTGTTTTAAAACTAGAATATGATATCTTGTTTGTTTACTTGTTATTGTTGAAACTTTGTTATTTCCTCCTACAAATGCAAATCATTTTCAGATGACCTACAACAGAGGAACTGCCACGATCTTGTGTAGCTGCAACACTGAACTTGAGAGGTTTCTGCACTTCCTCTTTGTAGGCCGTTATAAAAACAGGAAGCGTACATGTTAGGAAAGAACAATTCAGCTGTAGTTTCACCAAGGTCCTAAAATCACATGGTGTTCCACTTTATTCAGAGGAAACATCTCTGCCTCTGGAACTCCAGATAATGGCTGACGCTCCACAGAATGACTCTGAATGTCCCTCATCTGGCCAGACCGAAGCTTCAGCTGGAGGTCTGAGTTTGCTGGAGAGCTCGACGCAGGAGAACCAAGAAGATGGCCAGGTTTTGTTTGAGGATTCTGTGTTTGCTGGTTGTTTGCAGGATGGACTGCACAGTCTGTGTCTGGAGGACAGCTTGACAGATGTGATTCTCAATGTACAGAGTCAGAGCTTCAAGTGCCATCGAGTGGTCCTCGCTGCAGCCAGTCATTATTTCAGGTCAGCCAGTGGTACATCCAGATCTTTCAATGTGATGTACTGCTCATTACATGTAACTTTTCGTAACTTAAAGCAGTGCTTCTATTTGAGGGAAGATACTTAAGTCTACATGTTTAATGTATGTGTGCTTTACTTGTTCACAGAGCAATGTTTTGTAATGACCTAAGAGAAAAGCATGAAGAAAATGTTAATATTAAAGGCATTGATGCTGACACTATGAGAATCCTGTTAGATTACACTTACACCAGCAAAGTCACCATCACCAAAGACAATGTTCAGAGAATGCTTGAGGCCGCCTGCCTTTTTCAGGTTTGTATTGTTGTACAGGTTTTGCACACCTTCATGTTTAAGTAATTCCCATCTGAACCATATTATCATTTTAATGGCATTAACAGTATGTATAGCATGATGGAATAGTCAACACATATAATCTGACTAAAATTTCTGTTTGTTTGCCAGCCGTTATTTAAATTTGTATTTTATGTTTTGTACATTAAAACCACTAGGAAAGTACCAAGCACAACAGGGAAGTGAAAATTAGCATTGTTTACAAAAAGATATACACATTTTTCCAATTGACTCTCCTTAGTCACATCTGGGTAACTGACTGGGGTGAAATGTTTACTAAAAAAGTTGAGGTGACTTATGTTTATATTTTTATGAACATAATTGCAATGAAATGTCTGTCAAATCATGTTCAAATATGAATTTAGTAAGTTTTTATTTTAAAACAAAGCCCTTTAAAAAGTAAAAAAAAAAAATTTAAATGCAGTTATAGATAGTAAGTCTCACCAGAGTTGATTCATTTAATCAAAAAACAGTAAAAACATAAAGAAAAAAATAATTGATTGAAATGTTTTTAGGAAAATTTAAAAATGTAACTTGTTTTTGTCTGAAATTTAAGCATTAATCCAGTGTTTAGTGTCACACAATCTTTCAGAAATCATTTCATTAGATCTGGTGCTCAATAAACATTTCTTATTATTATCTGAATTAACTGTTGTGCTGCTTACCATTTTTGTAGGAGCCAGGATTCTTTAAAGATTAAACATTTAAAGAGAAAACAATTTAAAATCATCAAAATATGTTACATAATTTGTGTCATTACTGTCACGTTCGATCAGTGTAGTACAGTACATCTTTGTGTGACAAAATTATTTCTTTATAAAAATAAATATATGACAAGAAAATTAATCTAGGTATTTGAATTTGATCCAAAACTGAAAGTTCTGTCATTATTTACTCAACCTTCACTTGTTCAAAACCTGCATGATTTTCTTTCTTCTGTTGAAAAAAGATATTAGGAAGGACACTAAAAACCTGTAACCATTGACTTCCATAGTTTTTTTTCTACTATCAATGCCAATGATTATCGGTTTTCAACATTCTTCAAAATATCTTCTTTAGTGTTAATCAAAATAAAGAAACACAAATGTTTGGAACCAACTGAGGGTAAGTAAAGAGTTTTTATTTTTGGTTAAACTATCCCTTTAAACCCATCTCACAATCTTTATGTTTGATTTATGAGTATGCACACTGTTAAAAACTACTTGCTGACTTTTTTTTTTTTAAAGTTCAGTCAAATTGACATAAGTCATTTCCACCTTACCTTACTCTGCCTTCCAGCCATGAGCTGGCGGGGGTCCAGTTCGGCAACTACAGGATTTCTTCTCTGTTATTCGCAGACGATGTTGTTCTGTTGGCTTCATTGAAAATGGACCTTTAGCATGCACTGGGGCGGTTTGCTGCCGGGTGTGATTTGCCTGGGTTGAGAATCAGCACCTCCAAGTCCGAGGCCCTGGTGCTCCACCGGAAAAAAGGTGGTTTGCCATCTCCAGATCAGAGGAAAGTCCTTACCCCAGGTGGAGAAGTTTAAGTGTCTTGGGGTTTTGTTCACGAATAAGGGAAGGATGAAACGTGAGATTGACAGGCGGATTGGTGCAGCGGCAGCAATAATGCGGTTGATATATCCATCCATTGTGGTAAAGAAGTAGCTGAGCCGAAAGGCAAAGATCTCGATTTACCCATCTAGCTACGTTACTTTCACCTATGGTCATGAGCTTTGGGTCATGACCGAAAGGACAAGGTCTCGGATTCAAGCAGCTGAAATTAGTTTCCTTTGAAGAGTGGCAGGGCGCACTCTTAGGGTGAGGAGCTCTGTCACCCGGGAGGTCATAGTAAAGCTGCTGAACCTCCACATCGAGAAAAGTCAGCTGAAGTGGCTCGGGTATCTGTTTCAGATACCTCCTGGACGCCTACCTAGGGAGGTATTCCAGGCATTTTTCACAGGGAGGTGGCCTCGCGGAACACTTTGTCTCTCAGCTGGCCTGGTAATGCCTTGGGATCCCCCTGAAGGAGCTGGAGGAAGTGTCTGGGGAGAGAGATAGTATCTGGATGCAGCCTTTATGATGCAAGCTGAGATTGCAAGACTCAGCGATGCAATGTCAGACACAATGCAGTCAATGGAGTGAGTGACGTCACTGTGACGGGTAGGGTTAGGGGTGGGGTTAGGTGAGCGCATTAAAAAGCATTGGATGCAGCTCAGATTGCACTGCATCAGGTCTGCATCCAGACCCCCCTCGGGGAGAGGGAAGTCAGAGGTTCTTTCCTAAGACTGCTGTCCTCGTGACTCGGCCCTGGAAAAACAGATGAAAATGAAATGAAATTAAAATAATAATACTGATAAAATCATTACTGATATATTTACAATAGCATTTACTATAAATGTTTATGTATTTCCTAATTTATTATATTATTTATTAAACAGTACACTTTAAATGTTGACTACTGTATACCAGGATCTGTTGCACTGAATCATTTCCATTAAATTCTCTTCTGTGGCCTCATTGGATTATAAAATGTCCATCAGATGCACACTTCAGAATCTCTGCAACCGTAATAGGTCATCCTGGTACTCACCTACTGCTTTTCAAATTTTATTCTAAAGTGTGTCTCATACATACAGTGTATCGCATACAGTTGCAATATTACTATAGTTCAGTTCAATATTACTTTGTCAGAATTATTGCCCACCCCCCTCCCATGTATTTTTCCCCAATTTCTGTTTTTAACACCGAACATAATAGTTTTAATAAATCATTTCTAATAACTGATTTTTAAATATTAAATTAAAAAGGTTAACTATTTTAATTATGCAAGTCAGGGTAATTAGGCAAGTCATTGTATAACAAAATTAAGTTCAAAATTGCTTTTAGGGGCTAATAATAATGGTAAATAATAATAAAATAATAATAAAATGGTTTTAAAAAATGGTTTTAAAAAATGCTTTTATTCTTGCCGAAATGAAACAAATGAGATTTTCTCTAAAAGAAAAAATATTATCAGACATACTGTGAACATTTCCTTGCTCTGTTAAACATCATTTGTGAAATATTGGAAAAAGAAAAAAACAATCACAGGAGGGCTAATAATTTTGACTTCAACTCTATCTCTAAAATAAGGGCAAATTCAGTAAGTGTATACATCATCAAACACTTTTAAGCTCTATAATGACTTTAAACCCAATCCATCTTTGCAGTTTCCTCGTATTGTGGACGCTTGTGCAAGTTATCTCGCGGAAGCCCTTCATCCAGAGAACTGTGTGGGGATCCTGCATCTGGCCGACGTTCACTCACTAGAGTCTCTAAAGACACAGGTTCACTCCTACATTGTCCAGAACTTCTCCCAGGTGGTGGATCATGAAGAGATCCTGGAGCTTCCCGCAGACGTGTTGGTCAGTCTGATCCAGCATGATGATTTGGGGGTTACAGAGGAAGAGCAGGTGTTTGATACGGTTATCCGCTGGGTGAAGGCCCGAGAGGATGACAGGACAGCTCTGCTGCCTCGCGTACTCACACATGTGCGGCTGCCCTTGCTGGACCCGTGGTTCTTCGTGGAGCGGGTGGAGGGAGACCCATTGATCCGCCATTGTGCAGAGGTTTTCCCACTGCTGCAGGAGGCCAGAGTTTATCACCTCTCAGGAAAAGAGGTCAGTTTTTCTCAGGTGACCTTTGCTTTTAATGCTGGATGTCATGCCGAAGTGATCACAAGATCATTCAAAGATGGGAAGTGAAATTCAAGCTCGGGAATGATGCACCATGTGTCAGAATGACATTGCAAAGAAAATTATGTCTGGGTATCTATACAAATTTCACGGTTTGATTTGGGGTGCATTTAGTTGTGTAGTTCCCTTTGTTCTCTGTTGGTCCAGACCAAAAAAGAAAATTCTTTAAGTGCTCACTAGGGCAGCACAATATATCAAAAAATTATTGTTATCGCGATAATAGTATATGCAATATCCAAACTGCAAAAAAATTCAATAAATTGAGTTAAATTAAATTCCCTAGCATTTGTGTGCTGCATGCACAGGTTGTTTATCTAAATCTGACCAATCAGATGGGGCACTTTCACCTAGAGCTAAAAACATACTAATGCTGGGAGACAAGATAAGAAAATGACTGCAACCAATAACAATCAGAATTTACCGTCAGTTTTCCTCATTTTAAAGTCTAGATGTTTGCACATGTACAAAGTTTTTACATTTTTTTTTATTTAATTAGCTCAGAAATTGTTTTAGTTTAGTTTTGTATAAACATTACACTAATAAATATATATTTAAATTGCTGATAAAATAGCATTTTGCAGGTCAGTTACATTTTAAGGAATATTGTTATCGGAACACTCAACAACAATATCGCATATCACATTTATAGTATTTACAACTTGTTAAATCATGCTACAATATAATGCAGTATTAACTAAAGTGAACAGGCAAAGCAAAAAATCCTCTAGTATACTTTAGCACTTACGATAACAAACTGTGGTGTAGTGGCCATTAGTTTTAGAAAACCATGGTATTGAGCCATGTTTATATTTCTATGATTGTTGTATTACCACTATAACTACAGAATTACCACAAGAGATTAAGTCAAATAATTTACTACACTATAAAATATAAATCAATAAAATACAGTTTTCTTTATTAATTTATGCATTTGAATTGCATTATGGGACCATGATCTCTCCTCCAACAACTTTTGTTGAAAAGTTTGCAAAAGGGACTTATTCACATTTTTAATAGTTCGAAGTGATAGATCGTCTGGGCTGTTGTTGTAAATAATGGTCCAAAAACCTGGTAATAAACTGCCAGTAGTTTATCTGTTGTTTCACGGAGTTGATTATCTATATATTATTTTTTTATACAATATAGTTTTTAGCTACTAAGATGTAAATAAAAGTCACTTTGTTAAATTGCACAGTTGAATTTTCAAAATTAAAATTAGACAGATACATATCAGTTCATTTGGACGTGCAAAACTACATATTGCAGTAATTTTTTCACAAGTGGATGTGACAAAACTACTTTTTCAACTACTTAACCGATAATGTTTATTGTGATATAGTATATGGTTCTAATAACAATGATTTTCCTGTAAAATGTGCTAAAATGACCAAGACAAGACTCAAAAATACGTTACATGCTTGTCATTCATTGTGAATCTTCTGCATCCATTGACATATCATGTGTTAAATCCTTTTGGTTTTAGGTGATCTCTGAGCGCACCAAACCGAGAGTGCAGGAGTTTCAGTCGGAGGTCTTTATGATCATCGGAGGATGTACAAAGGAAGAGAAGTTTGTATCAGAGGTCACCTGTCTGGACCCGCTACGCAGGAGCCGCTTAGAGGTTGCAAAACTGCCAAACACTGAGATGGAGACTGAGAGTGAAAACAAGAAGTGGGTGGAGTTTGCATGTGTCACATTCAGAAACGAAGTGTACATCTCAGGTGAGCCTCCCACTAACACACAGAGAAAGTGATAAAGTCATAATAACTATGTAACTGCAATTTATGTACATGGATGCAATGGTGTAAAAAAATTCAACGCAATCTCACGACAATTCGTAACTTGATGACTGGTGTCTAATTCGTATGAATTTGTACGATCTAATTCATACAATTTAGTATGATTTGCTCATCTCCCAATGACGGTTGGGTTTAGGGGCGTGGTTAGGTGCCACGCCTTCTTTTTAAAAATCCTACATTTTCATCCGACTAAACTCATACGAATTCGTACGAATTAGCCACTAAACTGACAAAACGTAAAATACTTACGTTTTCTTGTGAGAGCAGGCTGAAAAAAAATCTCAGCAAAACTTTCTTTACTTTATTTACTTTAGTATTTTTGTTCTTCAGTATTTGCTATTAAAATTCAATTTATACTGACATCTTATGTATCTGCTGTACAATTCTGAAAAAAATCCTTAAAATTTAGACAAAATATTGAAGATAAACTTTTTAACTTCGGATCAAACTTTCATCAAGAAACTTTTCTGTCAAATCTGCACTGTAAAACATACCTGGTCATAAACATTTTCTGTATTTTGTGATTCACAAGTGTCTTCCGTTTATTTATGGTTGTGAATTGCATTATGATCTAAAAATACAACTCTTCAGTTTAACAAAGTGAGGTTTATTGAGATTTTAGTAGTTTGAAATAATATAATGTTTAATAAATAATTTATAGACAAATAAGTCTGTAAAATAACAGAAAATATACTGCCAGTTTATTACAAAGTTTTTGTACTGTAAGGTACAAAACCAATTCAGACAATATATCCTTTTGGTTTGCATGTTTTCCCCAATTTCGCGCTGGTGCTCCTATAAGTGCGCTATAAGTGAATTGGGTAAACAAAATTGGCCGGGCCGTATGTATTAGTGTGTGTGAATGTGAGAGTGTATGGGAGTTTCCCAGTAATGGAAGGGAATTCGCTGCATAACACTTGCTGGAATAGTTTGTGGTTCATTCCGCTGTGGTGACCCCTTAAGAGATTAAGCCGAAGGAAAATGAATGAATGAATATTTAATATAATAAAAGGTGTTTATATATATATATATATACACACACACACACACACACACACACACACACACACACACACACACACACACACACACACACACACACACACACACACACACACACACACACACACACACACACACACACACACACACACACACCTATCCAGCAAACATGTATCACTTGTAAATTTGTTGCCAACATTCTTTAATATTTTTTTATGTTCTGTACTTACACTTGAGTCTAGTTTATGATTTTTTTACTCCCCTGTCTGCATGGCTGTTTGCACTGCAGTGAAGTAGTTGTGGTTATTTTAAAACTTAAAACAGGTGGCAAGGAAACTCTGCATGATGTGTGGAAGTATAATGCATCACTGAACAAATGGATCCAGATTGAGTTCCTCAACACAGGCCGCTGGAGACACAAGATGGCAGTTGCTGGTGGAAAGGTGTATGTTTTGGGTGGCTTTGATGGAACCCAGAGATTGAATTGCGTTGAAGCCTATGATCCTTTTCACAACTGCTGGTCAGAGGTGAGTTCTGAGATTCATGACTGTTAACATCTGAATTGAGCAGTTCTCTAACTATAGGCACTTTGCAGACCTAGCAGTAAAACATAAAAAGAAATAAAAGGTTTTTAATTCAATTAAGTGAAATTAATAAGTATCTATATTTAATTCGAAGAATGTTCATTAGTTACAACCAAATTTAATTTTAATATTCATAGAAGTTTTGGGCCAAAAATGTTTATAAAGGGGAAATGTATATAATCAATGTGTATTGTCCATTAATTTATTATTGTAATGACCAAGGTTTCTGACACCTTTGATCCATTTAAAATATAAAATAAAATGAATATTTAATAATATAATTAAAATAGAATTTATGGATTTTTAAACTCTGCTTTTAAATGGTTATGTATCACAGTTTCCACAAAAATATGACCCAGTTCAACATTAATAAAAATCTGAAATGTTTCCTGATCTCCAAAACATATAATTAAAATTATATGTGACAATTCAGCTTTGAAGCACAAGAACACATAAATTATATAGTATACACTCACCGGCCACTTTATTAGGTACACCTGTCTAACTGCTTGTTAACACAAATGTAGGGGGCGAGGTAGGGGGGTAAGTGTGTTGTTTAAGAAAAGTAGCAGGCCAGACTCCCTATGGTCAGTCCACCCCTGACAGGATAACACCAGGAAAACATGCCATGTCATAAAGCATGAATCATCTCAGACTGGTTTCTTGAACATGACAATGAGTTCACTGTACTCAAATGGCCTCCATAGTCACCAGAGCTTAATCCTATAGAGCACCTTTGGGATATAGTGAAACGGGAGACTCGCATCATGGATGTGCAGCCGACAATCATGTCAATATGGTCCAAAATGTTTGACAAATATTTCCTGTACCTTGGTAAACCTATGCCACAAAGTATTAAGGCAGTTCTGAAGGCAAAAGGGGTCCAATCCGGTACTAGTAAGGTGTCCCAAACAGGGTGGCCGCTGAGCGTATTTTACAATAGAAAATGTATATACTGGAATCTTCGTAATGATTCTCATGAGTAAATATACTGTTTTTTGTCCTCCTTCCAGGCAGCGCCGCTTATGTTGAGTGTGAGCTCTTTCTCTGCTGCCAGCTTTGACAGATGCATCTACGTGATTGGTGGAGGTCCTAATGGCAAGCTGGCCACAAACAACATGCAGTGCTTCGACTCACAATCAAATAAATGGAGCCTTAAGTGTCCGATGCCAACTGAGGCCAAATGCACAAATGCAGTGACCTTTAAGGATGCCATTTTTGTTGTTGGTTTGTACCTTTACATTTATTAATCTGTAAGAGTGTGAATTGCATCTGCCGGTAAAACATGTGACAGTAATTGGAGATTCATTGTGCCGTTACGACCCCTAATTAAGATGGGAATAAGCCAAAGGAAAGTGAGTTTCAATATATTAAACTACTCAACTGAGATTACTATCATGCTCTGATCACTTATACAATGGAAATTAAAATTAGAGAACAAATACTAAACAACTGATTTTTTTTTAAAATGCAATCTTCATTATTAAAAATTTGAGGGAATGTTAGTCATAGAATGCTAGCAGAACAATGCTAACTCACTGAGGGACTTCAACAAAAGTCATTTTATATTTTATATCGTGCAGCTATTTGAAAATCTTATAAAAGCATTGTAAGTTCAACAAATTCATTATGAACAACAAAGATGTAGTGTGAAAGATTACTTGTGCATAGTAGTCAGGTTAGTTATTAATGCGTGTTTTTATTTTGGGGTGTTTAATGAGAATGCTTTACTAGGATGCTGTAGGCTACACTATATATTTCATGGTGTTGTTTTTTTATTTACAAAAGAATTTGCAGTCCTGAGACATTAATTTACTGTCCTGTCCCATAGACGCTGCATTAGAAACCCCTCGCAAAAGCAGTAATTAGTTTTTTTTGTAATTTGAAGCAAAGATGATAGACCACATACATAAATGCATATAAATGTTCATACGTTTTTAAAAAAAATGAAAATATTAAAGGATTAAAGATGCCGATGAACACGTTAAACGAGTCATAACAAGCTTGTGAAGAGTCCATTATGGGACTTTACAAGGCAGAGATTTAAAAGCGGTCAGCTATGCACAATTTCAATAGTCACATCTGAAGAAAGCTTACACTGGTTTTTGTGCGCACGTTCATTTTCTCTGATTCACACCTTAATTTATGAAATGGTCTTAGAACTATTTTAAAACATTTCTGCACAACAATTTTTTGAAGTAATTGTTGGAGCATGAGGAAAGATCCCAACTAAAATTCCTGAATGCTACAGGCATTATAATTTAGCAGAAATCGCAAAGGCCCTTACTTTAGCTTCAGCACATCAGGACATCACTAGTCTCTCACTGCACTGCTGTGAACTTGATCCACTCTTCTCCAGTCTCTTCCAGAGTTCAGTAGGGGTTTCTTAGATATAACTTTGCTGCAAAAGACTTTGCAGACTTTTTAGTCAGGTTTAGTTTGGGACTCTGGTCTGGCCATTTCATTATTTCACTGTGCTCAGCTTAACTTGTTTTATTGTTTTAGACACTTCATTGATTTTGGTTATTTTAAACTTAGGTCTCCAGTTTTTACTCTAGTACCTTTATATACAATGGCTCACTATCTTGAAAAGTCAGTGAAAATAAAAGGTTTGGCTGCCAGTAAAATAGGGTTTATCAGATAAAAAAAATTACCAGCAGCTGCATTTTCGCACCAATAACTGTGAACCTGTGGGGAACTTTGATGTATAAATGATGTCAAAAACACATTGCAAATTGATTTGATGTCAAAACAAATGAGCTATGTTTTCATCCACCTATTTTTATGTGCATTTTGGAAATCGAATGATGGAAACGCCATGATGTGCATAAATTTTGAAAATGCCCATAAAGAACATATGTGCATAACTGAGTAGGATAAACTTTTTATCCTATAGGAAAAAATGTGCAAACTTCGATGGAAACACTTTTACCGAACAAATTCCAGTATGCTCATAAAAAAACTGCGATTTTGTTATAAGAGATCATTTGATGATAAAAAATGTGTGTGAATGGACAAACCAGCAGGCTGACCGTATTGTAAAACCACTGAAATGTTGTTTTGGCCATTCTAAAACGCCATAACCATTTCCGTGTTAATATATTATTAATTACTTCCAGAACTGTCAAGAGTGTCTGTACTCCACATCTCACGCCTTCGAACGCTACCACACATTCATTGTGTGTCGACATCGTCTTCTGAGGCACAAAGTTATTTATTAAATAAGGAAAAGATTCACGCAGCTTCTCCTACTGCAGCAAAAAAAATTTTTACTGTAGATATTTGGTGCCAGTTTTGGTGCTTTATTCGCACATCTTTTATGCTATATTTCAGTTTTGTGGATAAATGGAATTCACATTTTTGGATGGAAACATAGCCATTGTTGTCCATTTGATGACCAAAATAACAACACAAAGTATTATAATATAAGAAAAGTTTTTTTAATCTGAAAGCTTCAATTACAAATATACCTTGGACAAATATTCAAGGTGTAAACTACCTTGATGTCAAAAGAAATTTAAAACAATGATTTAAAAATAAAAAATAAAATCAATTGGGTGTTTTTGGCATCAATATGTTTCCATCCAAAAATGCGAATGAACTTTATGTGCAAAACTGGATTATCGCATAAAAGATAAAATAAAGCAGCGTTTCCATCCAACGAGTCAAAGTGAACAAAATCGTCACTATCTGATTAACTGGTGCCCTATATCAACAGTAAAAACAGAATTTTCTGCAGTAGGAGAAGCTGCCTCAGTCTTTTCCTCATCTAATAAATGACTTGCGGATCAGAAGGCAATCCTGACACGCAGAGAACGCGCGGTAGCGTTTGAAGGTGTCAAGACGCGGAGCACAGACGCTCTTGATTCTGGAAGTTATTAATAATATAACACTAATACTGAAACTGTAAGGTGTTTTAGAATGACCAAAACAACATTTTAGATGGTTTACAGTGTGCTCATACTGTTTGTCCATTCACAGACATTTTCATAATCACACGATCTCTTATCGCAAACTCACATGACCTTTTTTAATGCGCATACTTAAATTTGTCAGGTAAAATATTTTTCATCGTAGTTTATTCGCATCTTTCCTTATTGAATAAAAAGTTCATCCTACTCAGTTATGCGCATGTTTGTTATGTGCATTTTCAAAATTTATGCGCATGATGGTGTTTCCATCAACCATTTTTTAATGCGCATATGCAGAATGCACATAAAAATAGGTGGATGGATGACCATTTGACATAAAAAAGGTGACGAAAATGCAAATTGATTTGATGTCATTTTGTCATCAAGGTGCATGTTGGGAATTATCTAAAAGAGATAGCTAATTTTTAATCATCATTTTAAATATCATTCAAGTTTTTTTAAAACTGTGCTCAATATTACAAACAACCCATGCTTAAAAGCTACTTTTAAATTGTATATTGTTCTCTAATTTTGATCTTTTCTGTCTCATTGTTTCTACTCAATTAAGGTGGAGCGATGAAGGCTTTGTATTCCTACAGTCCTCTGGTAGACTCGTGGACGCTGATAATCCAGCTGGGCTGTGAGAGAGCCAGCTGTGGCATTGCTGCGTGCAACAACAAGCTCTTCATTACTGGAGGCCGCGATGACAAGAATGAGGTGATCGCGACAGTTCTCTGCTGGAACCCGGACACAAAGAAGTTAACAGAGGAGTGTGTGCTTCCACGTGGAGTCTCTCATCATGGCAGTGTGACTATCAGGAAGTCCTACACGCATATACGCAGGATAACACCTGGAACTGCCACTGGATGACAGATATATCAGCTGGAGAGTGCAGTTTTACAGTTTGTATAGTGGAGGCTTTGTTGTTTAGCCTCCTTCTTAGAGCGCCTGCCTCTGTGTGGAACTGAAAAGGTTACATTGGGCTCTACTAACATTTATTAAGCCAGGTTTATATGGAAGCCCTAAGACTGTCTTTCTTGTTCTCTTGGTGTTGACTTTTAAGTTGGGATCATAATAAAATGTGATGTCGAGAACAAAACATGTGACAATGAAAAAAATTCAATGCTGCGTCCCAATTCGCGTACTATCCATCCGAAATACTATTTAAAAATAGAATTTACTGTTAATTAATATCTAGCCCACTGGAAAATATTTAAATTGCGTTGTCTGTGTTTTATTTGATCTGCAACAACAATACTGAACTAATATAAAGATGTGTTTGCACATTAACGTCTGAATGCATAAAGAAAATTCTCTGCATGAAAGACTTGTGAATGGCAGATTATCCTACTGTTGCTTCTCCAGTAAGACAGGAAATTAAATATGGCAGAAATATGGTGAATGATGTGTGGATGATTGGCAGGGCTCATAACGAAGCAACACATTGATCCATTAAAGTGGAAGTAGTGTGTTCCAAAGCTTCTATACTCTTGTTACACAATCAAAAGTATATATTTTATCTTCACAAAAAAGTACATACTTCCAGGGCTTAGTATAAGTAAATGAATTGGGATGCAGCACAAGTTAAAAAGATCAAAACTGTCACAATAATGAAAAAAAAAATGGTCTGGAATAAAAAAAAATCTTTTAAAAAAAATGAAGTTGTGTTAATGGAAGAACTTCAGTTGAGATTGTGAGTATGTTTCAGTTGTAATGATGAGAATCATGCGCTGTAAAATATTACATGCAAGACTTTCAGAGTTATTTTAACTGATTTAAAAATATTTTCTAAGTTGAAACATGATTATCTTTTAATAAGTTAAGATTAACAATAATGTTGACTGTTTCAATACTATTTTACAGTGTGTAAATACTAGTATATTTTTTAAATTTATATGCATATATATGCGCGTTTAAACATATCATATGTTTAACAGAGCAAAGAAAATTTCACAGTATGTCTGATAATATTTTTTCTTCTGGAGAAAGTCTTATTTGTTTTATTTTGACTACAATAAAAGCAGTTTTTAATTTTTTAAACACCATTTTAAGGACAAAATAATTAGCCTCAGCTGTTTTTTTTTTTTTTTTTTACAATTGTCAACAAAACAAACCATCGTTATACAATAGCTTGCCTAATTACCCTAACCTGCCTAGTTAACCTAATTAACCTAGTTAAGCCTTTAACTGTCACTTTAAGCTTTATAGAAGTGTCTTGAAAGATATCTAGTCAAATATTATTTACTGTCATCATGGCAAAGATAAAATAAATCAGTTATTGGAAATTAGTTATTAAAACTATTATGTTTAGAAATGTGTTAAAAAACAATCTTCCAGTGTTTATTATTTTTATCCAAAAATAAACAGGGATGCTAACAATTTAAGGGGGCTAATAATTACAAGCAAAATTGACTCATGACAACTAAAAAACAATTCATGCTGAGATTATGATAAAACAATTATGGTCACACTTTACAATAAGGTTCATTAGTTAATGTTAATTAATGCATTTACTAAGATGGACAAACAATTAACAATACATGTACTACTGTATGTGTTCATGTTAGTAACCGTTAGTTAATGAAAATACAGTTGTTCATTGTTAGTTAATGTTAACTCATGGTGCATTAACTAATGTTAACAAGCATGGACTTGAATGTTAATAATGCATTAGTAAATGTTCAATTATGATTAATAAATGCTGTACATGTGTTGTTCATGATTAGTTCATGTTAGTAAATGCATTAACTAATGAACTTATTGTAAAGTGTTACCACAATTATAAAGATTTTTTTCATTGTTGAGATCGCAAAAAGATGCAATAATGCAAAAAAAAGTAATATAAATTGGTCGAAACAAAACTTTTTTTAGTCGAGATCACAAGAAAATCATCACGGTAATAGGACAATCTGCTCAATCTATCATAAAATGGTCAGAGTAATTAGAAAACTTTTTATATGTTGTAAAAATTAATCATGATTGTGAGAAGTTGTAATCAGTGCAAAGAAGAATTATTATATTGATATTATTCATTGCTAAAAAAATTGTCACGTTTGCAAGAAAATGAAAAACTATAAAACAACTTTTTACGTTAAATTTTACATTTTATTTTTCAGTCACAACAAAACTTTTGATGTCAACAATTGAAAAGAAGAAACACAGTAGTTATTTTAGGGTTTAAGCTAATATATTTCTCTTTACTTCATAGTCTTTACACAACTTTAACAAAGTTAAAGTTAGACAGAAACATGCACTTCGAAAGTTTACATTTTACAGTACTCTTACTGTATATTTTATAGATGGTAATGTTATTCAGTAGCAGTTCACAACAGCTTAATTTGTTCATGATGTGGGTTTAATACCATTTGTGAATTTTTAAAACAGTTTATGTTAAGATCTCAAGCATCATTGAATTCACAAGAAATTCAAATTTATCTGCTTTCTAATGCATCAATTTTATAGTGAATTTTTTCTCTGTATTTTTTAAATAAAATATAAAAATTCTATCTTTTTTTTTGTTGACATTTAAATTTCAGAACCAAGACCTCATTCTTCTTACCCCTCGAATGTGTCAGTACTACTTTAGTTATGTCATGACTGTATTATTATCATGAATGAATACAAGTTACAATACAAGTGTTACCATTTAATTCATACAAATGCAAAAAAAAAAAAAAATGTTTTTTATTTTTTAAATGTGCTATAACCTGTCAAGCATCACTCAATTTGCTTCAGCTTATTCCCTTATTTATGAGTGCTCGCCCCAGAATAAACTGCCAGATACTTAAAGTACCATAATTTTTTAAAATAATAATAAATTGACTGATGTTTTGTTAAAACTTCTCTTTCTATGAATTCTATTATAACATATGGATGTAGAGAGATGTCTTTAGGTAAAGAAAAGCATTCACACATACACAAATAATTTGTTCAATACAGATGCAAGTGACTTTTCACACAATATTCATTCAAGTTATTTTCAGTTTTCATGACCATGTGACGTCTCATTTAGCTTGCAATTCTGGATACATTTCACTTTTGATTTTATTTATTTTGTTAGCAAAACATACAAGATCTTGTTATTCTATTTTGCATAAATTACCTTTTTTCCCACTAGAATATATATTTAGGCAGCATTTGCGTTTAATTTCTATATGAGCTAGAAAAGTAAAGTTCATAGACAAACTAGTTTGATACAAAATGTTTGATACCACACGGCGAATAGGGAAGAAAAACCTCTGCATTTCTCTGTAACTTAGATGCACTCAGTAGGTAGCATCAGAAAGCTGTGTGTATAGACTATCCTGTCACAAAATGCAGTGAAAATCCTACACAACGTTAATAGTTTGATTAAGATGTTTACATTTGAAGAGCAGCATTTACAGCCCATAGTATTGATGTGATTTTAACATACTGTAAAATGAGTAGCTAAATAATTCTGACTAAGGTATGTCTTTAAACACTAAAAGAGTACTGCTGATGATACAAACTAACTTTGCTATCTGAATAAACAAATAAAGACCTCTGAAAGCTCACTTACCAAATCCGTAGAGACAGGACCATCAACACCAACTGGAGCCGCGAGACGAGCAGCTAATCCGAATTTCATCATTCCAGATGCGAAAAGCTCTTGGATACAAAAATGTTCCTCACAAAAGAATTTCTGTTGCGTGCTCTGTAGTCCACACATGAGTCAAGCTGCGCTCTCATAGCTGGAAATGAAAACAAAACCATTGCACCCATCAGATCAGTTGGAAAAGCCCCACCCCAACCCTAAACACAACCATCACAGTAATGTAAAAATAGTAATTGTACAGAGTATTAATTATGTTATCTATTAAATTACCCAATAAACTGTATTTTTTAACAGCTAACCCCACCCCAACCGTCAAAGTACTGTAAAAACATTTATTATTGTTATAGTCATAAAAATGCTGCTGTATGAATGTGCATATCGCAATTCCGGCTGGCCGCGTATCTGATCTAGATTTTCCTCTTCGAAGCTATCATGAATATTAATGAAGTTGTACCTCATTCACAATAGACTGTGCTGATTGGTTTGAACAAAGTCTCTTGTGAATTAATGCTGCACACTCAGAGACGTCATTATGTACTCACCAGTTTTTGGACATCCTCTCTGCACGCTGGAATACACACAAGGATCTCATCCTCATCCCATGTATAAAGTAAGGTGGAACAAACATAGGACTGTCAACAGCTCAAAAATGTGTTTTGGTGTTTCATGACCCTTTTAAGTCTGTATGACAGTGCTGGAAAGTTATGAGGTCATAAACTTTGGTCCAGCGTTAATTAGACTTTTTCCAGGTCAGTTTTTGGAAAACCGTAAGTCGGATCAGTTGAAAAAGATAAAGCCAGAGCTGTTTGGACTAGGCATGGGACGATAACAGTGCTCAAGGTATATAGTGGTTTGGAAAAATTCAAGTTTTCTGCTTTACCATTCCTAAGGTATGAGTAAGATTATTAAATTTTTTTTTTAGGACAACAGTATCTCTACAAGAAAATATCTCCAAAGATGGCGTTTTAAATTGTAAAGAAATCTGTTTTTTAAACCATTGAAGACAACAGAAGTCAATTATTCATTTCAATTATATAGCCTGACATGTTTACTGCCCCAAAATATTTTAAATGTTTCCCAAATTAAAAGATATTGTATAGAAAGGGGAAAAAAGGTTTTGTTATCCAAGGTTATCATGCAGCCAAAATCTTATACTGGCCCATGCCTAATTTGGAGGTTTGGTGGTTGTAGTAGATGGATATAGTAATTCGTCTCAGAAGACATAAGAATAATACATTTATGTAGAATAACAGTATGTTGTCTTTCTCAATCCACCATAATGAACTACAGTGGGGGAGTGACAAGTAAACAATTACCTTAAAAATAAAACCACTATTCTTTCGAAATCAAGGTATTGTTCAATTAATCAAGGTTTTCTATTTAGGTCATTTCGCGCATCCCCTATTACATCAAAGTAAATCACACACATGAAGTTGTAGAATGTTATATCCTTTTTATTTTCTGCAGAGAAAGATGAATACAAAGTCTCCTGACATCATAAAAATAGGCTTTATATGTACATTTGATGAAAAAAAGAAAAGACATTGAACATGCACAGGTATCGTCTGCTCTGTGCGAATGTGTTCCCTGATAGAGGCAGATTTTGATCAGTCCGTCTGTTGTTCACTTTCAAGTTTAAAGTAAAACACTTTTTTAAATTGTCAAATACATAAAAAGGCACCACTACCTTGCCCAACTGAACCGGTCAGATGCAAGAAGAGTAACATTGATAGAACATCCACTTCTTAACCAGTTAATAAACAACAGCGTTTCGAAGCAAGCGTTAGTCTTGTCCTGTTGTCCATAATTGTGCTTCATCTCCTGTGTCTGCTATGACTGTGTCCAGAATGTGATCGGCTCTGGCGCTTGTTTCGTCCATGATCACGTGAACGGTCACGCTCACGGTCCCGATGGTCCCAGTGGTGCCCTGAGCCGCTGCCCTCCTGTTTGTGTTTGATGTAGTCACGATCGCGGACTCTTTCTCTTGAATTGCTGCGAGATCTGCTCCGTGACCTCCTCCTCTTGTTAGAGTGACGGCTGGTTTCGCTGGGTCGGTCTCGGTCTGTCCTGAGTTGGCTGATGGGTGACGGTCTTCTGGCTTTTTGACGTGGAGACGGACTGTGGCTGCTGTGAGAGCTGTACGTTCCTGAGTGGCTCCTTCGACTGGGGGAGAACAGATCATTGATTTGGTTTTAAATGTTCCCTTGATGTGCATGAATAACAACAGCATCATGAAGAGAAGAGAACTTACTGTCTGTGTGGAGAACGAGACGTAGAGCGAGATCGGGACCGGCTGTGGTTCTTGCCATTCTGAAACACTTTGCCGTCCTCCTTTTTTATACTTCTGTATGATAAAAAAAAATATTAATAATTTTTTACTTGGATAATATAGTTTTGTAAATCAGAGTATATGCTGTTAATGAGCGAAAATTCTGGTATAAAAAATCTAGTTAAAGATCAGAAACAATTAACAAAAAAGGTTTCTGCAACTCTGAAATTTAGCATTTTGATTTTAATAGTTTTTCCTCAATCACATAAGATTACTAAAATTGTTACATAAACGAAAAAATAATTTTGCAAAGTAAAAATCAATCATGATAAATCGCATCCAAAATAAAAGTTTGTTTTGACAATATACCATGGGTAAAGATCACAACCCACGGAACTCACGTGACGCGCAGATTAAGAACTTTTGAATCCAATATTTATAAAATTAGCAGAGAGAGAGAGATCGCCTCATTGGAGCCCAAGTGGCTCTGCAGCGAGCAGTGTCTCAAATTTGTTGACATATATATATATATTTAAATGAATTTAATTAATTTATTTATTTATACAACAGTTCTGTCTGGTTCTTAAATCAATATAATCTTAAAACATTGGATGTTTGAGCGTCTTTTTTTATTTATTTTTTTTAAGTATCATCATTTTCTTTTTCCCTTTTCAAGGCCAATAGGAAGAGCAAAATAGTTTGTCTCTTCTTTTTATTCCTTAAAGTCTCTGGGTAAACGCTGGGACACCTGGCACCCGTCACAATACCCATGGCAACAGAAATACAGTAGATTGTAGGGAGAAATCTCTGTAGACTGATGACATTTCATGTCACGTTCAGCCTTATGATCTTAAAATGTGAGCAAAATTTGCTGTTTTGTCATCACTTTAAGGAGGTCATTCAAATAATTCAAATACTAGCTTTAAAGTGACATTGGTGAATTAGTAACGGCTTCTGCTTTTCTGACGTCAGCTGCAGATGTGAATGAACGGCTGAAAAAAGTAGTTCCTAATGCAAAAGGGTTTTAGACTGTGTTTGATTTTCTACTTTATGTACAAGATTGTGCCGTTGAACTGTTGTATAAACGCAATATCACACTTGTAGCAGTGTGGTATGGCTGTATATCAGCACTGTACAACGCATGTTTAGTATAGTGCACAATATATCGTTTCAGCATCAATATTGCAATGTGTGTATCTGCAAGATTTGCAATGTTGAGTCTGAATTATAGTTCAAGAGGAGCTACAGAACACGTGATTTGTAGAGTCACTGCTAATTTTAACCACAATAGAGTGAAGGTTTATCATTTGCATGTGACTGAGCACTTCAACAATTTAAACATTTGGCAACATAATGTTTGGGGTAGAGCTGTGCAATTAATCGAAAATGCGATTTCCATTTTGGCTTCAAACAATTATGAAAAACCATTAATCAAGATAAACGATTATTGCATCATATACCGCCCCCTTTCAGCTGTTCACGTTTGTTGCTCTTAAAAGCGCAAAACACCGTGTGCTTGTGTGAGAGCGGCAAGCACACACAGCCAAAAGCATGCGGCCGGTCAGCATTCGGTCTCATTCACACACTAAGACGAGCAGAGGAACGCAGATATCTAAAGTCATCTTAACGCGAGCGCTTTAAAGGTCAAATAGGTGTCAAAACGCTGTGTTCAGTGATTATTCATATTAACCCTCATTTGTGTAATAAACAAACGAGTTGAGGATCAAAAGAAGCGTGAAAGAGAAACCATTGAAGAGACAGCGCGCAATGTTACTGCTGCCGCCTGTTTTTATCATTAATCAAACAAAACGAGCAAATCCCTCACTGCTCTTGACTGAAGGATTTTTGTAGCTAAAGTGTTTTTCTTACAGTGAAGATGCTTAAAGCACAGTTTGTTTCATATTTTTATTCTGTTGTATTTATTTCTCTTTCCTTTGGAGAGTGGAAAATAACTATATATATATATTTGAAGTCAGAAATATTAGCCCTCCTGAATATTAGCAACCCTTTTTCTGCCCAATTTCTGTTTAATGGAAAGATTTTTTCAACTTGTTTCTGAACATATTAGTTTTGATAACTCATTTCTAATTACTGATTCTTTGATATCTTTGCTATGATGACAGTAAATAATATTTGACTATATATTTTTCAAAATACAAGCATTCAGATTAAAGTGCAATTCAAAGACTTAGAGTTATAAGGCAAGTCATTGTATAACAGTAGTTTTTTCTGCAGACAATCAAAAAATATATTGCTTAAGGTGGCTAATAATATTGACCTTAAAATGGGTTTCAAAATATTTAAACCTGCTTTTATTCTAGCTAAAACAAAACAAATAAGCCTAGAAGAAAAAATATTATAGGAAATACTGTTAAAATTCCTAGCTCTGTTAAACATAATTTGGGAAATATTTAAAAAAAAAAATCTCACTAATAATTTTGACTAATAAATTTGAGTTTTCTTCTGAAGGTGAAAACAATATTTTTTTTAATCTAAGATTTTTTTCGATATTTCGACTAGAAACGAGACAATGCAAAGAAAAGCATTTTTCGCATTGTTTTATTGTACCTGAATAAACTGTCAAATAGAGCTATTCATCTTGTGAAACTGTATTCACATCGCAAGACTAAAATCTTAAAAATTAAACAATCGCAATATCAGATTTTTCCAACATCGTGCAGCCCTTTATACTACATATATTATGTCAAAACAAACTTTTATTTTGAATGTGAATAATCACAATTAATCTTTGTCCAGCACTAGTAATTATATATTTTCTTTCTACAATAAAATATATTAAAATAAACAAAACAATAAAAAAAACTACATTTTGTTTACTATGAACATACACCATGAAAGTCATAAAAAGCAAATAATGCCAATATTGTTATATGTATAAAGTATGCATTAATATGTTTAAATATTAGTGCAAAATAAGCTATATTTTACTATAAGCTAGTCATTTTTAAAATTTATTTTAAGTTCATAATGCAAATTTTATCTTAGCTAAAAAAAAAAACATTTGCATTTAAATATGGAGACTAGTTAAGATTTAATTGTGGAGATTATGAAAGAGACTGAAATCCCAGATCAGTAAAAAAAAGAACTCTACATGTTAAAAACTTATTACAGATTTAACAAGAGATATTTCTTCCTTATGATTCTGACAGTCTAGCAAACAGCCATAATTCACAAAAAATAACTACTTAAGCATTATTATAACTGATAAGGAGTATGCAGTGAATGTTAACACACTTACCCATTCAGTGGGCTTTTGGCAAACAACTGTCTGTTCTCTGGCTCCTTTAGTTTAGAGTTTGGAGATTTATCATCCATCTTCACATCTCGGGGAGAAGCTGCAAAACAAAAACATGTTTAGCTGCTTGAGAATTGACAAGTATTTGCTTGCAGAATGATTGATCAGTAACAAACATCAAACATACAGGGTTTGGACGCAGGGGAAAATCCATTAATGGAGGCGAGAGCTGGTGTGCCATTGGGATTCTGGCCTCTGGCTTTTAGTCTGGCCTCCTCCAGGAATATTTTCCTCTTCTCCACCTGCCTCTCAAGCTGTTCACTGTGAGGCTGAGAGATGGACTAAGTATTAACACCACCATGTGACAATTGAACATACAATACAACACAGTTAAAAATTATAATATATAATAATAATAAATAATAGTTATATAATAATAAAAAAACAAAAGCTACCTTTTCTCTAGAATACAACTTCATTGTGTTAATACAGATCTCTTTGATGTCCTCCTTAGTAGCACCAAATAGAAGAAACCAGTGTGGTTTGGAAGGAAGAGGAATCTGTAGAAAAAAACCACAACTTTTAATCAGTCTGAATGGGATTAGAGATGTAACTGTTCACTATGAGCTGGTTAAAAAAATATTCATATATAGTCAAAGCCAGAATAATTAAAACCAATGGCAAATTCTGACTTAAAGCTGTTGTTCAAATGTAAATAAAATACCTTTGAAACATTTTGTACATCTTTATCTTTTGAGAGAATTAAATTTCCAGTAAAAAAAGACTTGCTGGTAGAATAAACAGAATTCAGAGTTGGCCAGGGGTATGAATTAATTTAAGCTTGACTATTTTATGATTCAAATCATTTTAAATGAGTCACTATAATACTTGTTTGGAACAGCAGGGACTGTTGTGTTTACAGATTGCAGCAAATAAGTTGTAGCAAACAGTTCAAAACAACGAGTATGGATGTTAATATTTAAGCAGGATATGCTCATTCAAACCAAAAGAAACTTAATGTTCTTCATTTACAGTCAAGGATTTAATATGGTCGCAAAAAAGACAGAAAATGCACAGAAATCTAGATTACTCCACAGATGCAAATATGTCTCGTCATCATTTACGTATTACTGTCAACATTGCTAATAGTATATCGTTCTGCATATTGTTAAGTTTTTGAAGTATGTTGCTGTATTTTGCACAGAAAGAGCCAGGACACAAGCTTTTCACTCATCATAGTACACATGCTGCTGATGATGTGACAATAAGTGATTTGATTTCACCTGCTTTGTCGCTCCCATCAGCGAAGCTAATTCTATATCAGTTTACCATCAACTTCGCTGGGTTTAATCGTATTATTAATAATGAAAGTAAACTTAAGTACTACAAAGTGTCAAAGTTGACATTGATAATACACAATTTGAACATGTAACAAATTAGTTCAGATTCTTTTTTTTACTTTTAATGAGCCTTTTACAGTGCCCTAAAACACTGATAAGCTGATTTTTCTTTAAAAAATCTAATCAAATCACAGCTAATAAAAACACAAAGTCTTAGTTGTCTAAATCCGAGATACTCATTTTATTTGTATTTATTTTATTTGGAATTGTCTGACTCTTTTTAAATGTGCAAAAGTTTTGCTAAAATTAAAAAATAATAAAAAAACACCTTATTTCTAAATCTTTAACTCATTTTTGTAAATTGTTAAAGAATTGTGAAAAATTTATCATGATTAGTAGTGAATCGTTAAATCCATAGAGGTGAGACATTAGTCTACGGTAAAAATCATAATTTGTTTCAGCAAAGTGCAAGCTGACACAAACAAATATGTACAAAAGCCAGTTTCCATTACTCAATATAAATAAAACAAGTGTAACTGAAACGGTGTCCACTTTTTAGTTCCGACATTATCAGAATTGTGATAAAAATCTGTATTTCTGAGTCACACGATATTTACTTGCATATTAATGATAAAAAAAAATCTGAATTGCAAATTTGTGTCTTGCAAATTGAAGCAATTGCAAGATTTAGAAGAATTGATGGAGATAAACCTGCAAATAGTCTTTGTCCCCCTTAGATATGGACTTAGGGACTATATTTTATATCCCAATTCTGAGAAATGAATTCAGACTTGAAGATAAAATGTTTGTTCAACAAAATTAATCATTAAAACACTGCTTTTTCGCCATTCCCCCAATATCAAACATACTTATATGTGTAAATATGGTGTAAATCTAGGGACATACCTGTAGTACTCGAGCAGCGAGGTAAATGCAGGCACACGCAATGGTCTCAGGTTCAAACCTCACAAATGCACTGGTTCTGAGGGCATCATTCATATAGTTCCTGAAAAACACAAACAAGCACCTATGCAACACCTGCCATGCTCTCTCTCTCATATATATATGGCTTCTTATGGAGTCTCTTAACTTCATGTCCTTTCCCTCAGTTTTTAAAACGTAACCATGATGGAGGAGCTAATATAATTTGAACATATTTGAGCAATGAGTCATGGCAAAGTTTGTCAAAATTAAAACGCCAAATCAAAAAGATATGAGGAGAGGCAAGAATAACTATATGGCAGATCATTTACTGTAACAATTCACATGAAAGGGATTCATATGAAAACAGTAACATACCGTATATCAAAAAAAAATATTTGGATTTAGAGAGGAAAAAAAAAAAAAAGTGTACAACTAACTATAAACTGGAAAAAACAAAAAGAAATCCTGGCCCCCCAGCAAAGCCAATGCCTTCCATTCAGAGAACCTCCGCTGAGAGCTCTCACTGGATTGGCTGGCAGTCTCGAAAAGGCCAGCCAATGAGGTGGGAGGGATTCCTGGGTCTTGTGCCTGAGGAGTTCGGGTGTTTTCTGTGACACTTACCACCATGGGCTACCCTTTAATCAAAGAGTAGAGAAAGGACAAAGTTAAGCAGAGCTCTCCATAAGCCATAACCTCAATGTGCAACAAGTCAACAACACATGGTTATCCTGCATTGACAAAGAAGACTGAATAGTGTGAACCTAATCTTACCTTTAGGCATACCAAGCTACAATGCATTTCATGCTTTATAATGCAGTGTTTCCACTAGGTCCTGTTGATATCTAAGTTTCAAGCTCTTTCACAAAAGGTCAAGCTCTTAGCAAATAAAGAAAGCTACTAGTGGAAACAGAGCATAAGTCCAACCAAAAACCTGATCCAATGTCTCCTCTATAAGGGGAAAAAATTCCAAGTCATAATTTAAAGGGCATTTCCATAAAGTCCAGAGGTAGATGAAAACACTTACCATGCTGTTTGAACCAGCATCTGATTCTTCTCACATTCCAGCACTTGCAGGTACATGACTATAATCTAAAATGATAGAAAACAAATTTTAAGAGATGCAATAAGGATTTCAATGCACAGAAGACAAGCAATAACAACATTTTAACTGATAGTAAACAAAACTCACCTTATGTGGATGTTTGACATGAACACAGAAGCCCAGCTCCTTCAGGATACGACGCTCAGCTTTAATAACTTGGTTCTTGGTATTAATGTAATTTTGATCAAGAATGAGGGGTGTGCTCCTGTATCAACAAATAGAAAAAAAATTAATTAGCTATTGTTGAACATGAAACATTACATCTATGACACAGACATGGGATAATAAACTGTTTTAAGGTTTACCACAGTTTGGAAAAAGTCAAGGTTTTAAATTTCTGTTATACTGTTCCTATGGTATATCTACAGTTTATTTAACGTGTTTTTAGCGACTATTTTATTTATTTGGGCAACAATATGTTCCGCAGGAAAGGACCCTCCACATCAAAAGCTACGGTTCCAAAATATTTTAAATGATTCTTAACTAAATATATTGAGTTCAATGGGGGAAGTAGTTGTTTTTAACAAGACATTTAAAAAAACAATTTAGAACTCATACCTACAATGATATCCACATCCACTGATTTGTTTTAAATTTTCCTAAAATATCAACGTAATCTTTTTCACTTATGTCAACAGAAAAAAAATCTACAAAATTTCCAAAATCGTTTCAGAACTAGAAATTTATATTTCATTTAATCAGAAAACAGGGCAGTTTAAATGATGGATTAAGTGACCAACATGTTTTGAAGACCGAACTGGTCTGACATTTTGAATTTAATCAAAACTAAAATTCATTTCAATAGTTTAAAACCACCGGCCAAAGCAAAAAAGTTCACTTAAGCTGGAAAACAGCTGTAAACTAACACTGGTAGATTATGTAACAGGTAGGTGTGTTCTATAACTCCAGCTTTTACTTAGAAGGTTTGACAGGTTGTATTTTAATTTTTTTTGTTTATTGTTAAGCTAGCTTCTATGGCTATTTCAATGTTAAGCTAATGCATACTAGTTATAATATGCTATTTTGTTTATTTAAAACTGTTCTTATTTTAAGTGTTAAAAATCACCTCAAAAGACTAAACAAAAAAAAATCCTCACAGATTTAATCGCTGACACAATCTAACAGCAACACTAATATTGACAATAGGCAGAAATTTTGAAGAGTAAATTGAAATCCATTAACATGTACAATAAAATGTACAAAGTTTTTCAAACTTGTTTTAAGGCAAGAAAGAATGTTATTTAATAACGTTCCTTATAGGACAACTTTGATGACAGGTTTTAGTTAACTTCAGACATTAACTACTGTATATTGCGGCTTTATAACACTTTCCTGGGTAAATAAAACTACTTCTTAAAACATAAATACAACAAAAACTTAAAATCATGCGTTCGACTTACTTTTTACCCTTTCCTTGTTTCAAATGGTGGAAAACGTTGATCACATCCCTCACTCGTCTTGGCGACTCCTCAATCTTTGAAGCCAAGTTCACGCAGGCCATAGCAACAATCTGTTTTAAAGCGAAACCAGGTTCAAAGTTTTCATGAGATGGTCTTAGTCAGGTATTTAACAATATTATGTATTTCTAACTTACCTCAAAGTTGTGCTTTACGAAGGACTTCGAGAAAAAGAATCTTTGAAAAATTACTTGTCCCGTCGCCATCGCCACCTACGCAAAAAACATAAAACAATATCAACAACCACATTCTCGTAAACAATTGACGTAAATAACATTCAACATAATTATAATATCGCTAAAAAATATAACAAATAACGAGAATCATCTTTAACAGCATCTCAAAAATGTGTCTCGAGCCACTTGAAGGACTCTATGGAAGACAAAGGCCGCCGGTTTCACTGTGCCGGTTTCGGCTAAGTTAGCCGGCTATGCTAAGCGCCTAGTTAAGGCGTTTACGTTAGATAACTGTGAGCCGAGCAAACGAACTAACGTTAATTCCTGAATATAAACACACTTCAACACTAACCTGTGGCAGACGAAGGAGAATCCCGGCTGACTGAATGCGTTCGCAGCCCAGAATCCGTAGGTCTGTCTCGGTCTCATGGTCGAGGCCATCCAGCATGGACGGGGTCGTGCTCAGCCTGTCCTCGGGTATGATCGAGTTGTCGATGGCCAGAAACACCTCCGAATACACTTTATCGCCAATAAGAATGCCCTGGTTATTTGGTGGTGGAGTGTTCAGATGAGGAGATAACATGCCAAGAGACATATTTGATGGTGTAACTCGCTATCACAAAACGTAGACCTTTCGTCTGCCAGGCGGAAATGGCAACGTTTCGCGATTGACGCACTTCAACGGCGGAAGTGACGTCAACGTTTGTGACGTCACTCGTTGCGTTGGAACAGTGAAATCCCGTAGAATACCGCGATGTTGTGTTGGTGTTTTGCGAGAATGTAAGAATCTAATGTGCTTATAATCTATAGCCTACACATTGCTATATTTTAAATTTAGAAAAAAGAATGTAAGTATTTGATGTGATATGAACTGACCTGATACGATATATGTTCTCAGACAGACATATAGATAGATTCAACTAAATTAACAGTCTCCTATCGATTTACAGTAGGAGTTGACTGAGTAACTAATAAGCCGGAGGAGCAGAAGCAGGAGACAAAGTAATGATGATAGAGAAAGAGCAGAGTTTATTGAATAATCTTAGTTTTGTATGATCCAATGCTAAGAGTTTGTCTGAAAAGAATAAATCCAACAAGTGTTATTATACCATATAAGCAACAGCAATGGGAAATGACTGTTTCACAACATTGTCCAGAGACAATACAGACCTTGAAATGAAGACATTCTCTCATCTCTTATGCTTAAAAACAAGTGTCGCTTGAATCCATAAGATTATAACAATATGGAAATATTCAATAATATTGAGCAAATTATTATAGGAAAATAATCATAAAATATAAAGACGAAATTACAAATAATACTCAATAATAATAATAAAATATAAAGACACAATTACAAATAATACTCTATAATAATAATAAAATCATTAACTAATAGTCCATAAAATGACAATTATACAGTATGACTGACTAATGACCATATGATTAAATAAAATTGAGATTAGAATGGCTCAATCTGTCTATTTTTAATCACTCCTAAAAACATACCTATTTAGCTTGACTTTTTGATTTTATTTTAATAGTTCTACTGCTTCATTTTTAAATTTATTTAGTCGTTTCTGTTGGTCATTAATCTAAACTAATACAGACAGACAGACAGACAGACAGACAGATAGACAGATAGACAGATAGATAGATAGATAGATAGATAGATAGATAGATAGATAGATAGATGCAGCAGGTTCCCACAGGCATGTGACATAATCCATTACTATCTTGCCAAGTACCAAAGTAATCACACCATCAAAACTGAGACCTCCACCATGATGAGGACTCATCACAGAAACTGATGAGACAGCTCACTGAGGGGACATGATATGCCTTGACGCATGCTCAACAGCACATATAAAGATCACTGTTGACTCCTTTAAAATCTTGACCTTTTTATATCAATGACAAGGAGGAAATAATCACAGGTTGGAAATGCATATTTTCTTCAACAGAGCAGTGATTTGTGTTCAATCTATAATTCTGTTTTGTTGATTAAGAAAGTGGATGTTTGATATTATTAATTTAAAAAATTGTGAATAATTTTATTTAGATGGTCGCCAGACACACGTTTACTATGTTACTTTGCAAAATTGTCATTAGAGTATTTGTCTACTGTCTGCTGAAAAGCTGCTTACACTTCATTTTGATGGTTCCCTAACAAACATTCTGCTGACAATAAGTGATCTAGCAAGTACACGTCAGCTCATTCGACAAACACTAACCCTAACTTAACAGTCTACTAATACTTTTATAAGAGTGTGTTGACAGAATGTGTTTAATGAACAATTAATATAAAGTTTTGTTTTTATTAGCATTAGCACTGCTGCTTTTAAGTTATTTGGCAATATTCAGCAAAAAAATAATAATAAAATAAAATAATAAAATAATAATAAAAAGATAGCCTTGGTCTTTTTTGCAGTGCACCATGCAGGCAGGAAGTGGGAGAAATGCCAGTTGTCACTGATACTCAGTTTGACCTCATTGCATTTACCCATTTGCCCCCCCCCCCCCCCATCTCTTAAACATATCCTGAGATGCTTCTAAAAGTAAATACATACACAAGACGATAATATTGATTGAACAGCACAGATTTCATTGAACAAATATTTTGTAAAAGATTTTGCAAAAGACAAGTATTTTGTAAAATCTAATTTTATTTTTTTACTTTTATTGCAGCACTATTCTTTCATAGTTCATAGTAATTTGGGGGTAAATCTTTTTGTTTTTTTAAATAGAGAAGTTGTGCAAATGCTGTTTTCTCAATCCAAATGAAAAAACAGTTTGATGTTTCTGCCAGCAAGCAGTAAATCATTGTTTTTATCAGCGTGTTTTCACATTTTTCTCCACTTTTGCCTGTGGTTGTTTTTGTGAAATGCATGTCCCAAGTTATGGAGAGAACAGTAAAAAAAAAAAAAAAGTCCTGCTGCATTAGCAGTTTTATTTAGTGAAACAAATATTCTTCTTATTTTATGAATTAGAATGAGAGTAAAAGACAATTCTGACACTGGAAACAAAAAGACAAGAAATTAGTGTAGCCAGCATTACACTTATGCATTATTTTCCATTGCTGGAAGACTTCTCGTGAGATTTCAAAACGAAGGCTATACAACATAATATATATTTAAAAAATACAAATTTATCACAAATATGATTAGGGAAAAAAAGGAATCTGTTATAGTTTACAAAGTATCAGACTGACCAGCACATTCAACTTTCTTCAGTGTGAATTTATCCATTTGAATACTAAAAAATTAAACCAAGTAATAATAGTATTGTAGAGCTTCCAGAATTTTCTAGTCTCTTTTGTAGCCCAATTAGTATTAAAATTAACTTTAACATGCTTCAGAATTACCTATTGGTCCGTCACACCTTTTTATTGGTCAGTTTTCATTCAAGAATATGGTCCAAGATTTAGAATAAAATGACTTGTAAATTGTAAGGCTACAGTAGGTCAGTAGTGAAAGATGACTTTACTTATGTCAGATTCCACTTTGTCTTCTTCGATTAGTTATTTTCACAATTTATGTTGGCATAGCAGTCAAAATTGGACAAACAAGCTCATGTATTGGACAAATTCTGGACTTTTGTCCGTGGGGGATGGGTTTTTCGAACCACCATCCTCCATGGCTACAGGCCTGTAAAGACTGTAATTCGTTTATTTGATGACTAGTGTATTTTTGGACTATTGTTATGCATCTATTATTTTCACTGACGGCTCAAATTTAGCCTTGTTTTAGTCAAGAAGTCTATGTTTAGACATATTTGAAACAAAATTGCTTGGTTAGTATGTTATGTTACAGCTTTCAGTCAAAAAAAAAATTTGCTCAGTTGGACAGCCATTTAAATTACCTCGCGTGTCAGTTGTGCGCGTGCAAAGTGTCATATTCTCTAATACACACAATGTATTACTGGCAGCTGAATAGCACTGAATAAACCAATGTGTGTCCCTGAGGAGGAACATCTTGCAGCTTCTTCTTGCATAAATCACTCAGTGAGACATTTTAATCAGGTAATTATTCATCCTTTCTGCCAGTGACTGGGGGATTCGTAATGTTCTCCAGATCTGCTGGCTTGAATGGCACTACTGGGATCTGGTTAGAGTGCTGAAATGTTTCACCTCACAGGTTCAGAGGGGCAAACACTGCAGCTTTGCGATTTAATAGTACTATCATCATCTGCCATAAAAAATGAAATGAAAATGTGATGTTTATAACCAAATATGATGCCTATGTATGTGGCGAAGTCTCCATGAGTGCTTCACAGTGCAGGAGCTTCACAGACCCCGCAGGAAGCATCAAGACATTCTTGAGTGAATCAAATATCTTAAACCCTGACGTTCACAAGAAGGAAATGTCATCGGCAGGACTGCACAGTTAAAACCAAACAATACAGTGTTTTATGAGGCAGGTTTGAAGAAGCCCTGTGAGATTGAGAAAGAAAGTTGCCGCCCGTAGCAAGCTCGACATTAGACAGAAGGGTGACATAAATAAGTGTTTCTGTGTCTGACTTCATGGTGAATGTTATTTTCACCTGAGGAATGCTTTTTGTTCCTGAAAGTTTGTCGCCCACCTCCTGCAAATCTGACTTGCTGCTTGAATGCCAGTGGGAACCAACTGTGTTCTTTTTAAAAGGCAAAGGCAGCTGTATTTTCTTAAAGAGACAGTACATCCCAAAATGAAAAATTCTGACATCATTTGTTCACTTTATTTTTGTTCCAGTCCCATCAGATATTCAACATATTTAATTTAGGGTCCGTGTGGCCCGGGCTCAGCGGTTAGTGCTGTCGCCTCACATTTCTGACATTTCTGTTATGTTCGCCCAATGTTCGTGTGGGTTTCCTCTGGGTGCTCTATGTCCCCCACAGTCTAAAAACGTGCGGTATAAGTGAATTGGGTGAATTAAATTGGCTGTAGTGTATAAGTGTGTGTGTGTGAATGTGTATGGGTGTTACCCAGTACTGGGTTGCAGCTGGAAGGGCAATTGCTGTGTAAAACATATGCTGGAATAGTTGGCGGTTCATTCCGCTGTGGTGACCACTGATAAATCAGAGACTAACCTGAAGGAAAAATGAATGAATGAATGATGTAGGATTTAATTAACATAAAAACAGTTGCTGCACTGATGCAATGTTGCAATTATTATAATTACACAAAATATAACACTATGACATTCTGAATAAATGCTTTAAGCTAGTAAATAATTTCCGAATTCAGATATGACACAAACACACCTTTAAACAGAAGCTCTACTTAATACCCAAGAGCTTATTTTGTCTTCTGGCAATGAATACTTTTCTGAGTTTGGAATGAAATGAAGGTAAAGCAATAAAATATTAGAAAGTAAGGAAATAAATATTCTAAACTGTAACTGATTAGGATTCCTGAGCCTTTAGCAAAAACAGAACTCTTCTATGTGCTAAATAATACCCTCTTTATGAGACTCCAGTAGAAACCATGCTTTAACACATTACAGTGTAACTCTTTCATCATTTTTTCATTTATATTAGTATAACAATATATTTAATATTAGCATTTTATCATGTTTGTATACAGAATTTCTCAACATTTTTATATATCTGTCTGGTCTTCTACCTTGTAGGCTCTGATAGGGTTTAAAAAAAAACTGAAAAATTTATAAAACACATAAAAGATAACCTAA